GCCATATGCTCTCAAAATCATTGGCCACTCCCATAAATTTTACTTCCATTTTGCACATGCCAATGATATACACTCCTCCTTAATTTATTGCTAAATAACTCATAATTCATCATTAATATGTCATTAAATAGAATTAACAAAAAATTTAATCGTTTAACGATAAAAATTGTTATATTAGCTACGCCATTAAAAAAAACACTTTTACTTTTACCATTAATATTATAACAAAAAAAAGTTATATATATCGTTTTCCCCGACTCATATTATTATTATTGTATTATACATAAATGATAAAAGTATTATCGTATCATTTGGTGGGTAAATACTAGGTTTTCGATCAAACAATCGAAAGTGGATTATTCAAAATCTATATTTAGTGAACTTAGAATTTGTACGATCTTATTATATGTGTATATATTTAAATATTTCTTCCATATTCATATACACATATATACATAATTCAAGTCAAAAACAATGAATTCGTTCAAACACACAAAATCCACCTCTACAAATAGCTAGCCAACATAACATGATCGGCTAGCCAGAGGCGGAACCACGTGTAGTATCAGTATATATATATATATAATTAACGCACATAGTTGGGATAATATATACTTGAAGACAAACAATCTTAAAAATTTAATAAATTTTTTAATAGAAAAATTTGAATAATTTAAACCCCTTACGATATTCTGACTCCACCTCCGCTAGTAGCTAGCTAGCTAGCTTTGGTGTTTAAATCTTACACATAATTGTGTTGTACAAGTCCAATAATTATTCAAGAAAAACTTTATGGTGCCAGCATTTTTGCAACTCAGTATTTATATAATATCCTGCAAAGTTAGCCAGAGAAAAGAAATGATTTCTCTATAATTAATATTAATAATTAATAATATATAACACTCTGGCATGGTTTTAAATATAATAAAATCCTCAAATATTAGCCGTTGTAATAAAGAGAGTAACAACCAAATTACTTTATAGGGTCTGTTCATCAGCAAGGGAAAATACTTATTTTTTAGTATTCGATAAGTAAGTAAAGAAATATTATTGATTTTTTAATATTCGATACGTAAGTAAAAAAATATTATTATAAAAGTATGTACATAATTTAAATAAATATTACGAGAGGTAATCTGGTGATTAGGGGTGTGGATGGTAGGGATGGGTCTATGAGGGTGATGGGGGGTGAAGGTGAATGTGAGGAGTGTTGGAGGGTACTGCGAAGAGACAATCGACGTAAAATCTGACTTATGAAATTTATTTTTTCTATTTTCATTAGAGAAAGTTAATAATTTCTTATTTTAAAAGAATTTATTTTCCTAAGAAACTCGTTTTTCAAAAATTTCGATCAATCTTGTTCTCTTTTTCTCCTTGAGTCGGATGAATCGAGGGTTCCAAACCTTCCAAAAGTGATAGGTATGTGTTCTTTCTTGGCACTCTCTTAGACTGTCTATCCCTTTATATTATACCTGGGTATAAAAGCCAGAAAGAAAGGGCGGGCTGCGATTTCATAAAAACAGTTGTGAAACTGAAACGACGTTCAGGTTTTCTGTATACTGCTTTGTATTTAAAACAGTGTACAGTTTCCCTTCAGCGTTATTACGTT